AATAAATATCATTACCAAATTTAAATGAAAAACCATTAACATAAATTTTTTGAAATAAAATCAAATTATGGGAAATTGAATAAACATAAAATTTTTAAAACAATTTAAATAAAATCCATTGTCTAACATTAAACATAGTGTCACAATGGTTTCAACAAAACTTTTTCCAATTATCATAAATAAGAAATTCTTATTTGAATTTGTGGTTTAGGCTATAAAAAATTCTTGCATTAAATAGAAACATAAATATTAGTACTTAAGTCAACCTATCATGTATTAAAAAGAATTTCAACAAGTAATTCGCAATATACAAAAGCCAAAAGCGTACTTTTCTTTTTCGAATCATTCTTTATATGTCATGTAATCTTTCTAAAAGTATTCAATACATTAATGACACTTTTTCATCATTACATTACTTTCTTTTAGTAGATTAACCTAAATCTTTTAATTTTGGGTGTTGCTCACTTATTGCCTTTTCTGACTTATTCCCAAATTTCTTTCTAACTTCTTGAGTCGTCAGATGAATATAATGATTACCTTACTACTTAAGTTTTGTCTCCTTATAAATTAACATAATGGTCAATTAAATCACTTTCCACTTGTCTTAATAGTGTTAATTCAAAATGACCCATACTGAATAGACAAGAAATTGAGAATAAATTGAATAAGAAAATTCCCATTCACAATCATCCATAAGGTTCTCAATTTTGCAGCAACATTAGTCATCTAAAAATACGATCATACATGGTACGAGTACAACCAAAAATCCATAGTAGTTATATCAATTAATAATTTTTGTTTTAGATATTTATCTACAACACGAAAACATTCTTATAATCAAATATTCCTTAGCACTATCGTTATGAGGAACAATTATTCGCATAACCATAATGCTTAATCTGTTCGATCTCTCCCAAGCTTTATGGAGAATCTTTTCTTCTTCACTGTTTTTTATCAGTAATAACAGTAAGTTTCTCAATTTAAAATGTTAAATTAAGATTTAACACATTTAAATTTTGAACCCAACTTACTCATTTCATTATGAGAAGTTAGTCATATTAAGAATCAGAACAGATGTAGCATGCGCATTAAGGGATGTAATATAACAAATATAATAAGATAAAATCTTAACAATAATAATGCTTCGAGTTAACAACACGTATGTATAACTTAAAAATATAAATATAATGTATAACTATAGTACCCCTTTGGGTGGCAACTATAAAATACTAATAATGATGCTTATATGTATTTATATGTATATCTTTATTGGTGATGCATTATTTAATTAAACAAATAAGTTACCTTTGGATATCCTATATTTACCTAATAAAAAAAAAATACATACGACCCTTTAATTTTTATTTAATCACTTGAAAATCAATTCCCTTTGAGGAATTATTTCTCATAATTAAATAAAATCAATATTCATGAATATCACAAAAAATTATAAGCATCATAATTCATGAAATATTGCAATTATGTTTACTACTAAAATTAATATTCATCAATTATTATGGTTAAGCCACTTTGGTTGCTACCAACCTTTACATAATATGAATATTAAATTAGATAGTAACTAATTTATGATTAATTATGTCTATTACAAAAATTAATATTCATCAATCATTATGATTGGGCCACTTTAGTAGCTACCAATCTTCACATAATATGAATATTAAATTAGATAGTAATTAATTCATCATTAAGTTATATTTACTACTAAAATTAATATTCATCGACCATTATGGTTAGGCCACTTTGGTAGTTACTAACCCACACATGATATGAATATTAAATTAACTATTAATTAATTAATTATTAATTTACCCATTTAACATTATATACACATACTCATAATTGTCGATTAAAGTTTAAGCAACTTCGATCTCAAAAACTTAATAGTCCGAAATTTCATAGAAAATATCTTTTTATTTTATATACATAATAAAATATATTATTTTATTTTCGGACTTAAAGATCATAATTGAATCAATTTAAAATTGATTCTACAATATGTATGTATGTTTGGGTACGAAACAATAAGTTATTTACATGTCTAATTTATTAGATTAAATTTCTAAACTCACAAATTATTCTAGAAATTCAAATTCCTAAAATAAATAAATCAATACATATATTTTATGTATTCAATAACTTTAATTTTAATTTATTTTAAATTAAAATCAGAATCTTCAAATCATTGGACAAATACTTATAACAATAATTTAAACCTCTTTAATAAAATAAATAAATACACAAACTTTATGTATTTATTAATTTTTAAATAATAATAATAATGAATTTTTGTAATCCTTTCACAACTTACTGTTTCTATAAAACAATAGTAAGACAAATGCTATTATTATTATTATTTTTTTAATTCAATGTTCTTTATTAGTCATGCACGAAAATCAGAAACCTAAAACATTGAAGTTGTTTGTCTTACACACATTATGCATACATTTGTACTATTATACATATGTAAACTATGTATCAGTAACCAACTTTCATAATTCAATTTTGGCTCAGAAATTGAGGTACCTAAACCCAAAAACCACACGGACTGATCTAAACATACGATTCTAAAAGAATGGATTATACAATCATTTAATTTTAAATTTATACATATTATTTATGCAACTTTAATGAAAAATAATGAGTTCCTAAACCGTTAACTCTGATACCACATGTAAACTATAATTATTCGTGTTAAACCATTCATCACAAATAAACATAAATCCCATAATCTTAGAACTTCATGATTTTCACATATCTATAATGCATAAATAAATAGTTAGATATAAATACCTCGATTCATGATATCAAACCTTGTTGAGATTAAATCCAACTTTTAGATCCTTTAACCACGAACTAATCTGTAACTTTGATCAACATGCAAAGGTGGAAACTGGTTTCTCTCTCTTGGCCTTTTATACACATAAAACTTTTACGTGTTGTATCATTAATTGTACATAATTGATGGAGTATATGCACTTTTATAAAGGTAGAGAGAGGACCAGTTTTCCTTACAGTAACATAATTCTACTTTCCATCAAAGTAAGGAATAAGAAAGGAAAACACTTCTCCAATAAGTAATTACCACAATTATAAGTTGACCAAAAATAAATAATATTAATTGATATCTATTTACTTACCCACCAAGTAATATGTCACATGTCCAAATCATGTAGGCCACAATTAAATAAATAATCTTACATAAAATGCATGCACGCTTTTTAATTTTTTTTTATTATTACGATTTTATTTTGTAGCTTCTCATGATGAATTCGTTGGCCCACCTAAACACACATTTATATGCTTGATTGCTTGTGTTTATATTTAGGGATTATTACAAATAAATGGTGTTAGTGATTCATATTTTGTATTTAATGGAGTTAAAGTCTCATAGTTTTGAAAAAAATAAAATTGACCAAAATGTTGACATGGATATAGAAAAACACTGTTTACTTTCACTGAGGTACCACTGTTAACCTTCATTGAGATACCACTGTTAGGTACATAAGTATCACTTTCTGTACACGTAAATACTACTTTTTATACGTAAGGTATCATTTTTGTTTTGGACATAAATGTACTACTTTTATTTACATAGATATCACTTTTATTACTTTTTGTGTTGTCAAAAGTGGTACTTCAGTGAGTGTAAACAGTATTTTTTTATGTCTTTATTTTTTCAAAATTATACGATTTTAATTTCATAAAATAATAAATATAGATTATTAATACTATTTATATTTAATATTCCCATATATTTATATTTACACATACAAAGGGTTAGGAGACAAGTGACTTTCTGTGGTGTTTAATTACTACGCTGATGATTACAAGCAGATCTAGAGTAGTTGTATGATATGTGAGTTTTGACCATGACTTCATCATTTCTATAAACAGAAAGCATGTGATCCCCTCATAATCACCATGCCATCACTACTTATTTGTTGCATTCGTTAATGACCCTTCTCAAACTCATGTTTGACCCATTGACTGTTATTTTTATACTCAAAATTAATGTAACTTAATTAATTTACTAAAAGGCAATAAAAATTGAGACAAATTTATGAATGAGCTGCAAGAGCTAGGCTTTCAAACGCATCCAAGTTTCTCGCTTCGTGCTTTAGTTTCTTTTTCATTCCGAAAGCCAAGGCAACTCTCTCGGAAGTGCAAGTATTTGCCCGTCCTCACAAAGTTCCCATTCCTTCTTCTAATTCGTATTTGAATCTAACACGACGAAATACATTCAACACGTCAAGAGTGATGAAATCTTTTATATGTTGTTGAATTTTACCAGTTAAAAACCTATAGATCTTGTCTAAAATTCAAATATTGACCTTAATTAAAATGCTGGATAAGTTAAAAGTATATTTTAGTAATAAAATTAAAAATAAATAATATTATTGTACTTTTATTACATTATAAACGGTGTTAATTATGAGGTGAAAATGGGTGAAAGGCCTCTAAGCGCACCAGAGAATTATCGAAAAATTCCTTAAGGATGGTTCTAAAAAAATTCAAACTCTCATCCTTTACAAATTTTTAAACAATCATCGATAGAAACAATCTAATGGAAGCGAGAATATTCTATGAATACTGACAAAAAGCTTTTGTTGAACATTATTTATTGCCGTCATCTAAAATACCGATCAGGACATTGGTAGCATTATTTAGCCCTAATGACAGAAAATTAGATTTTACACAGCCAAATTTTTTTTGTAAAGGACTTGCTCATCCAACCAACCTAAACGTACCAAGGGCTTAGCGGTGTTGGGAGAGAGTCGGAAGACAAACTATTGAGATTTCACTTTTAAACCGTACTATTGACTTAAATATTACATGTACTTTGAAGCTGATACGCGTGCTTTAGGTAAAAAAAAAAAAAAAACAATCCCGATTATGATTCTTTGGTACTTGAACGGTCATGGACATAATTTGAAACCCATAATTAGTTCACATTGGGCTTGAACATATAACTGGGGCCAAGTTACAATTTCCACTTTTTGGACCACTGTGTAGCCTGATTGAAAGCCCATCCTTTCCACCGTCTCCGTCTGATTTCCCCGAGAAAGTCGCAGAAATTGGAAATTTTGGAAGACCTGAGATTCTGAAATCAGTCACCACTCCCACCTTCAACTACTATTAAGCTTCAGGACTTTCCATCTATATTTTTCTTCACTTTCTCAGGAACCAAACGTACAGTCTTTTCAGTTTTTTTGAAGCGTTGGCATTGTTCAGAACAGCGATGAAGAAACCTCAAATAGGCCGATGTGTTTGGGTTGCCGGCGCTCTTCTCGCCGTCTTCGTCGCTTTGGCACTGAATTCGGAAATGAGTACAGTGATCTATCCCTTCGGCCGCGTTAGCAAATCTTGCAGTTGTTCTCAGGTATAATTGTTCGGTTTTTCTTTCAATTTTCTCACCCTTTCTGTTTGGTTGCATAGAAAACTAACAAAATGAAAGGAAGTTAAAAATCTATTTTGTTTGAAAAATAATAATAATAATTCGAACATAATGTTTTATGTTGAGTTCATTTTGCGAAATTGCTGCGCCGTTTGTATCACTAGAATGCAATTTCTGGTTTCTGTATTCCCAAACAATCAAAATTCTAAAGGTCAAAGTTCCAATTTCCTTTTTATAATTATTTTTTTCTTTCTTTCTTTTTCCAAAGGCGTGTATGATTTGATTTGTACTGTAGTTTTAAATCAGATTTGAACTGATATAATTCTATTTAAAATGGGTTTGGCTTCTTTAACATTGTGCAGGGCATACATAAATATAGCGGGAAAGTGGAGGACTGTTGTTGTGATTATGAGACTGTGGACCGTCTTAATGAGGAAGTGTTGAATCCATTGCTTCAAGAACTCGTTAAAACTCCATTTTTTAGATATTTCAAGGTTTGTTTTTTCATTGTTTACTTGCCATAGATTTGGACACTGGATGATAAAAGTTATGGTCTCTTGTAGGTTTTGAGATTATATTATGGATTTATAATTGAAATAATGGACCTTTGGAAGCATGGTTACATCAATTTTTGCTAATTAACCAAAACTATATTAAATGTATTGATAGGTAAAAAATATGTTATCTTTAAGCTAATTTGGTATACTAACATTTATATGAATATAATCAATTTTATATGTTTTCCACCATTCTTTTCATCATGTATACTTATTCATACTAAGAAAGTCATTATATTTTTAAAATTCAAAAGTTAAAATTTTCAATACTGTAAACTTATAATATTGACAATTTAATTTTAATTTTGTTCTTGGGAGAATGTTAAAGACTCAGAATCAGTACTTGTTCTTGAGCCAAGATATTGTTAACATGCTTTTGCGACCTTTCATCGTCTCGTATGGAAAGGTTGAGGGTAAATTATAAATCTTAAACTTCACACATGAGATTATTGTCTGTTTTGAACCTAAAGACCAATTTTCTTTATTTTCTTGCCTTATTATTTCCTGTCTTACTTCAATATGATGTTGTGCTTAGTTACAGGTTGATTGGTATCTGATCTTTCTGGTACCTGCTTGATATGTTTCCTTGGTAGGTTAAGTTATGGTGTGACTGCCCTTTCTGGCCCGATGATGGTATGTGCCGTTTGAGAGATTGCAGTGTTTGTGAATGCCCAGAAAACGAGTTTCCGGCATTATTTAAGAAGCCTTTCAGTCGTGGACTTTCATCAGATGATCTTGTTTGCCAAGAGGGAAAGCCACAGGCTGCTGTTGACCATACAATAGATACCAAAGCTTTCAGAGGCTGGATAGAAATTGACAACCCATGGACAAATGATGACGAGACAGACAATGGTGCTTCTCATTACTTTTGCTGCACTCTAATATTCTTTTTCGTTATTGTAAACTTCCCTTTTCTAATTTATATTAGGGCTGCAAATGGGCCAAGCCAAACCAAAAATGCCTGTTGAAAAAAGAACAGCCTTACACTCCCTACTCAAATTTTTATACCTGTATAAAAAAAAGGAAAAGAAGAGATTTCAATCCATTTACCAAAATAGACCATACAAGAAACTGATAAAAAGACTCAGGACAATTTGATCTGAGGTGTTTTTTTCTCAGCATTGCCTGAGAACAACATCGGAACATGTGTTTTGTAAATTGGATCATCCATATCTGAACTTTCAAGTTTCAAGCATGAAGTATAACAAATCACCAATATGTATCTGTAAATCATATAAAAATAAACTGTAAGACTTCCCAGATTTCTCAACAATTAGGATTCATGAACTAGATACCGACTTGGCAACCTCTGCTCTGGTTTGTCTGTCTTTTCTTTATCCATTTCTCCTCAGAATTCAATGTGAAGGGTTCACGACCAACAACACAAGGTTAAATGCAGAGGGAAAGGTTAGAAGAAGTTGGAGAATATGTAATGGGTTGGGTAGAGATGTATAGAGAACTAAAAATGTTTATAAATTGGATAGGTTCTTGACTTATAAAAAGAAAAGAAAAGGATATATTCTTGGTCTTTAGATTTTCCCGAATTCAATGGCCCAAAAATTAGTCTATATGGAAGATTAAAGTCCTCACTGAAGCCAAAATTTGGAATACTGTACCCTTTAAGTACTAACTAAAGCAAACTGATAGAAGTGGTAAACATACTTTTATCTCATGGGTTGATCCTATTCACAAGCCTGGAGAGCTGAGTTTGAACCATTTCATACTATGCTCATTTATGAAACGAGCTCAAAATTGGGATCTTGCTCTGATTATTTACTAAATGAACAAACTTGAACGATTTCATTGAAGAGCCCAACCCAAGTTTTTTGGTAAATAGGTCAGTTCATGTGCAGCCTAATTTTGAGCTTTCCAAGACATTCCTTCATCTGCAACCTTGGTGAGTTTATATCATTATTTTTTAAAATATTAAATGCTTATATGCCCTTTGGATCTTTATATAATGTGGTGAATGCATGTCAGATTAATTGACATTTCCAATATGATGGTCTTGGTCAATAATGTTCTTTTGTTATGTTCTTTATTTCCTTAAGATAGTCTAACTGTATTGTTGTGCTTAAAAATTTTTCAGCAACCTATTGCTTATGTTTTCTTGCAGCTGAGATGACATATGTAAATCTTCAACTGAACCCTGAACGTTATACTGGTTATACTGGTCCATCTGCTAGAAGGATATGGGATGCTATTTACACAGAGAACTGTCCCAAATGTGAGTTTTCTGCTCTCAGGTGTTTCTGATAACACCGCTTTTACTTAATTTTCAGATGGCATTAATGTATTTTTCTCTATTTTTCTTTTATTACTTCATACAGTAGCCTTTAGCCTCAACAGGATGTTGTGTGCCATTCTCAATTTAATATTTGGAAAATACTAAAATTCTATCCTCCTCACAGCCATAACCACCGCCACCATTACCTCCATTGCCGAAACCGCCACATCTCTCTCTCTCTAATATTTTGTCAAAGTTGAACTGGTAACTATGGTTAACTTCAAGATTTTCTTATTTCATTTGATCTGCAAAGAACAAGCCTTCCTGCTCATTATATGGCCTGAATTCTTGCATATGTATATACTTGCATATATGGACTCAATTCTTGCACGTGTATTCCACTTTAGTATATAAAAACACACAAATCCCATTTCCTCTAAAGTGATTTTATGTTCAGCGTGAATTATAGAATCCAAAAACATGTATAATGCATTCAAATAGGGGATTCGAAATAAAGTTAAAACACATTCTTGCACATGTATTCCAATATGAAATCAATAGCAGCGTTATATACACTGACAATTCAATAAAAGACATCCCTGGGAACCAAAATGGTTTGTTGCGTTCAGTGTGAACTTCAAACCACAAATGCACTTCCTCAAATGATATAATAGGAGACAACCTACTTGTTTCAAAACCCCCATGTTGGAGTATTATTACAAAATATCGTTGCTGGAAATTAACAAGGACAGAAGAAGGAATTGGTCGATCTCTTCTATACTAATTTTAACATCCTTGATGTGTTTCTTGAAGCCTGATAAATTCAGTTTCTAGAGAGATACTTATTCCTTGATTGTTGAGTGTGGTTGTGCTTTCATATTTTTTTAGTTTTCTGAAACTTCCCTTGTTGATAGTAGGCATGTCATGCAGATCCATCTGGAGAGTTTTGCCAGGAGAAAATAATATTGTACAAATTGATATCTGGTCTTCACTCCTCCATTTCGATTCACATAGCTGCTGATTATCTGCTTGATGAAGTAAAAAACCTGGTATTCTTTCTAGCCCTTACCCTTTCACGCTTTTGCTTTATGCGTAACCCCTGATGCTCTGGTAGTCCACCTGATATCTGGAAAATTTTCCTTTATTGCATTCAACAATGATGGATCCAAATAGTTAAATAGCTGACTATATCTTGAGTATATTTGGTTTTCTGAGCCAATTGCGTGCAGACTATATTTGCAATAATAGCTCATTAAAAAGTATTTGATTCTCCGATTATTTTCCTAAAACAATTCTGGTTGACTAGTTATTGCACACTTTTCAGTGATGATGTGCACTTTCAGATTTGTACTGTGTAAAGGGAAAGAAATACTGTCGATTAATAAAGAGGAAAAAATAAAAAATAAAAAGCTTCATGAATTTATTGCATATTAATTTCCTTTTTGTATGTGTTTGCTATGGTTCCAGTGGGGTCAAAATCTTACGTTGATGTATGACCGGGTCTTAAGACACCCAGATCGTGTCGGAAACTTGTACTTCACTTTTCTCTTTGTTCTTCGAGCTGTGACAAAAGTGAGTATTTACTCTCAAACTTACACTTGGTCTTAATAAGTATTTAAATTGTTAACAGTATCTCCTGAACATTTTCTAGGCTGCAGATTACTTGGAGCAGGCTGAGTACGAAACTGGTAACCCTGTGGAGGACCTCAAATCACAGTCCTTGATGAGACAGCTACTTTACAATCCCAAACTACAAGCTGCATGCCCACTCCCATTTGATGAAGCTAAGTTATGGAAAGGCCAAAGTGGACCTGAATTAAAGCAACAAATACAAAGGCAGTTCAAAAACATTAGGTTGTGCTTAAAATCCTCTTCACTAATAATCTTATTACTTGAAAATGGATCCTAATTGATGAAGAAAACGCCAATTTCTATGCTTTGCTTTGGTTAAATGGATCCTTCCTGGTGTTTATGATACTTTTTGATTTTTTTTTCATTGCTTTTGAGGATGGGATGGAAAAAAGGATCAAATGGTTTTGTATAATACAAAAGATAAAAAAAAAAAAATTACTTCATCAATAAATGATTGAGCTCTGCTACAGATGAAAAATGAATCTAAATTTTAAAGTGTAACAATTTCTCTTACCTGATATTAAGCATTGAATTTTCTTTATGGAAGAACTGTCCCCCCACACCCCAACAATAAAATATATTGTTTCCACATAACCAACTGTTTTGTTAGTTACATATTTTCTTTATCGGCACCGGTATATTTTTATTTTAGCTGGATTGTCCCTATGGCAATGAGTTAATTTCATCAACATTGCAGTGCATTGATGGACTGTGTGGGATGTGAAAAGTGCCGTCTTTGGGGAAAGCTTCAGGTGCTTGGTCTTGGTACTGCATTGAAAATCCTTTTCTCTGTCGATGGTCAGGAGAGCTTGGATCAGATTGTAAGTTTCTCTTACACAAAAATTGGTGCTTATTGATTTTAAAGTACTAAGCTATTTTATTTTTCACTGCCTTCTTCATTTGGCATGTCAGTTGACAGTTAAAAATGTTTCCCCATAACTGTCTCTCTATGCTATTAAGTCACTTGGACCATCTCTTTAAATTTCCTTACCATTTACCATCAAAGCCAGTAGCATGCATATAACATATGAAGACCAGAAAAAGAACAGAATATGATGGCTACATTAAAGAGTAAAGATATATTTGTTGTATGCTTCCCATGTGAGGGTGAATTCCAATTGTAAAGCTGACAAGAGAGTCCCTTCTATTACCTTTGCTCAATGGCCAAAACAGATTGCCCATTCAAACGAACTCGCTAGATAAGCTACATGGACGGAAATTGTGTCTAGGTAAAAGTTGGTGTTTGTATTGACACTACGTCCTATTTGTTACATCAACACCATATTGTTTGGATTCATCAATTGAAAAATTATCTTCACCCTGAGAAACTCAGGTGTATTGCTGAACTTTTTTAGTGTGTAAATCAACTTTCTAACTTCCTTTTGTTTCATTTTTTGTTTCTTCTCTGTAATCTACAATCACTGGTGAACCCATTGACCACAACCAATTTTACTTTGCATTGGCTTCAGCTGCAGCTACAGCACAATGAAGTGATTGCCTTGATGAACCTACTGAGTCGTCTTTCTGAATCTATTAAATCTGTCCACGATATGGCTCCCCCAGTTGAAGCAATCATGGAAGGACAAATTTCTGCATCTACATATCAAAGTAGGCCATGGCGAAGGATATGGGCATCTTTAGTTGGACATAGGTGACACATATTCTGGTAATCTGTCAGCATTGATACTTGATGTAGCTAAAGAGGGAGGTTCTCTTTATTGAGATGTACTTGCAGGGGAGGGTAACAAACTGTTCAGATCTATATGCGCCGTGTAGGTGGGGTCTTAAAAGTAACATCCCCATGTAAATATTACATTGTATGTGTAGATGTAAGAAGTTTTTTGAAAAACAAGGTGATAAATTTGTATGTTACTGGACTTGAACTTTCCAGAACTATATTCAGAGCATAATATATATATATATATATATATATATATATATGATCTTGTTGTTTTACTTGTGGCAAATGTTCATGTACGTGCAAAAAAATTATGGGCTGATCCATGTGAATGTATCAAGGGATAAGTGACAGCCATTCCAGAAATATCACGGATTTCTTTTTATCAATGGTCAAGCGGCAAAGTGTCCTGAAAAGGAGAGAGTTGAAATTGACACACAACAGATTTTAGACTCGACTCTTACCTTCATGTCACATGTATATTACAAGAGATGCACAACAAAACTATAACTTTCATTTTTTTGTCAATGGGTCAGATCTTCTGGATTCATTGATTTAACTGTGCATGTGTAGATTGGAGAAGCAAGAAAAAAATAAATAAAATTGTGGTCAAGTGTTGGTCCAGAGGAACTAAGAAATAAAAAAATTGTGGACATAAAAAGAAAGGCTCTGAAACCAAACCGAGATTATGTGATATGCCTGGTGGAGGGCTCTGAAACCATTTCTGGAACTGCTGGAACATGAGAGGAGTGAACCTTATGTACAGGGTATTAAAATGATATTAAATTGAAAAAATAAAATTAAAATACATCCTTGTCATCGCCATTCTCATCCTGTATTCCTAATTCCATCCAGCAAAGTCGGGATTTAGAAATCACAGCAGAGGAGTATCAGAGGAAAAACTACTGAAATCTGAAATTGCTGTCAAAGTTCTAATGCCGAATGCATCTACACAAGGAACTTGCAGCATCACACACTGATACCACCAAGAAGAGGGCCAGAGCGCCAGTTTTACACACTTGCAAACGTTCCCTTTGTGGTGATTCAAATTCCAGTTGGAACCCACTTGCCCAGAGCAACACAGCAATATATACAACACAGGATGAACTATGCTGTGATTTCAAATAGATCCCATCTCTTGCTCTCTGATGGTCTCCTTTCAGTACCCTTTAAATATGTCTAGAGAAATGGTCTTTGTGCAGCCACTGGATTTCTGTTAAACAGCTAAGAAAGCACGACATCTGTAAACAGCCGGAGTGCACCAATAAATCTTATGCTGAATGAAGTAGGTGTAAATTTATGCTGAATGAAGTATGATGCAAATCTTATATCGAAATTGTTGCCTCTTGTAATTGCTTTAAGCCGTTTGGGAGGCCTCATTGTTTCTTTCCCTGCTGTATGCGTCAGAATTTTCGTGTCCATACATGGCTATAAGCATTTTGAAGGAATCTTTATGCTTCAGTATTTGGACCTAATCTCCTTGATTTCAAACTCTAGATTTTGTAAGATGGTATAAATAACATCTGTTTTTGGATGAGATCGATCAGCGACACGAAATTCATGAACCTGCCCATTTATCTCTAGCCAGCTACAGCCAGGGGTCTTCTTCAACCCCTTATCTCTGAGAAAAATCCTCATTTTGGCCACTCCCTCCCATTTTCCAGCAGCAGCGTATATGTTGGAGAGCAAGACATAATTTCCAGCATTTTTTGGTTCCATAGTTATTAACTTCTCTGCTGCAAACTCAGCTAGCCTCGTCTGCGAGTGCATCTTACAAGCACTTAACAATGGCCCCCAGACTCGAGCATCTGGTTTGAAGGGCATTGAGTTGATAAGCTCTGAGGCTTCCCTAATCTGACCAGCACGCCCTAGAAGGTCTACCATACATGCATAATGTTCTTGCCTCGGCTGGCAACAATAGGTTTCAGTCATCTCCTTATAATACTCCCACCCTTCTTTAACAGAACCTGAATTAACACAAGCTGTCAATAAGCCAAGAAAGGTTACTTGATCAGGTTTCAATTTTGATTGTTTCATTTGGTCATACAACTCAAAACATTGTAAACTATCTCCATGTTTCGAATAAGCACTGATCATAGAGTTCCATATTATCATATCCTTGCTATCTATATCCTCATCGTCAAAAAGCCTCCGTGCCATCTCTATGCACCCACATTTCGCATAGCTTATGAGAAGAGCCGTGTTCACAGATAATATTGAATTTAAACCGCATTTAATTGAAAATCCATGAAGGTGTTTTACTTGTTCGAGTGCCCCTATGTTCACACAAGCAGGCAAGATGTTAATCACTGTTATGGAATCAACTTTATATCCATCCAATTTCATATTGGTGAAGAGAGACAGGGCATCATAAAATAGTTCATGACTTACATAACCTTTGATCATTGAGCTCCATGAAACCACCGTCTTCTCTCTCACCAAGTCAAAAATCTTCCGAGCAGCGTTTAAGCAATCACATTTGCAGTACATGTCAATAAGGGAATTATGAACGGATACCTGATAATCCGAACCATTCCTGATCACATGAGCATGTATTTGTTTGCCCTGACAAAGGGACTTCAAATCTGCAATAGACGAAATAGCAGCAATTGCAGTGAACAAATCAGCTCTAATCCCTGACCTCACCAACCGCATTAAGAGTTCTAGGGATTTTTCTGGATACCCATTTCGAGAATAGGCTGAAATCATCAAATTCCATACAACACAGTCCCTCTCAGACATTTTCTCAAATAACAAAGTTGCATCTTCCAAACAACCCAACTTAGTATACATGGTCAAAAGTGCAGTATTCACAGCCAAATCATCAAACAAGTTGCACACAATTATTAAACTGTGAACAGATCGTCCCAATTTCAAAAAGTTCAAATCAACACTTGCTCTCAACAGATTTATTACACACACCGAGTCTGGTTCGAGTCTCTCCATTCTCATTCTCTTAAAAATCTGAAATCCCTCCTCTGGATCACCACTTCGACATGCCTCGAAAATCAAAGAATTCCAATTGATGGGTCTTTCCTCAATCAGCTTTCCATGGTTACCAATCTCTCTATACATCTCTGCCAATGCTCTACCCACTATATCATATGAATCAAATCCCAATTTCACAACATGCCCATGAATTATTTTCCCAATTTCCGCATATGAGAGCTGAGAACAAGACCTCAAGACAAAAGGATATGTATATTCATCTGGGTACATCGATTTCAAGAACATTTCTTGGTATACCAAAAGGGTCTTCTCAAATTCACCAAACTTGAATAGATTTCTAAGAAATCTGTTGTACAGTGGTGTGTTTGGGCAGGTGACAGAGCTGAAGACTTGTTGTGAGATAGTGAAGTGGCCAAGATTGGCGTAGGTGTCGATGAGTTTGGAAGAGAGTGGTTGGTTCTGGTGGAGGCCATGGAGGATGAACCTGGCATGGATTTGCTGGAGATGTTGTGGGTTGTTGCAGAGGTCCAATAGAGAAGAGAGTGGATTGGGTTGGTGAGTTTGGCTAGTGTTGAAAAGTTTGAATCTTGGAGGAAAGCCGTTGATCAATTGCGTTGGCCGCTGAGGAAGAAACATATCAGAATGAAGTCTCGCAGCCACCGAGGCTCAGCATGTTACTGCTAGCGGCCTATTCAATAAAGTGCGAACACACACACACACACACACACACACAAAAATTTATATATTTGTTAAAAAAAGAAGAAGATATTCTGTATGTTGTGATAGCGCTGAGATATAACTTTAATAATTTAACAAAGAATTTTAATACTGTGATGCTTTTGCTAAATTTTCTTTTTCTTATATTTTAAATTAGTTTACAAATAATAAGCTTGATATAGATGTATCTCTTACCCTGATTTATTAACATATTAATTGTTTTTCACGGACGTGGAGTTCAATAAAATCCAATATTCATTGCATAATTTTGTTCAAATTTTGACAAATCAAGGCAACGTGTGGTTGTAATTGCATTATTAAATCAAAATAATTTTTTATAAAATTATTTGATTAATCAGGTTTTATTGCTCCAACGAAACGACCATAAATCATGCATTTAGTTTCAAATTCATTTGTCATTCTCACGTGATTTTGGAATTATTTATTTATTTTTTAATTACTTTTTGACAATCCAACAATACACAAAAATAAACATAGAAAAACCTTTAGCAATGCAATTAATTCAATCACAAAGTTACTTGTTTCAAAGACGGATAATGCTTGGATCTTATCCTATGAGAACACGTTTTGTCTTGCAATTTGACGTGACCGTATCACAATTTGACATCTGTCATAATCTGATATAATATTAAAAAAAGCAATTTGGATCAACCTGTTACAAACGGGCCTTTCTTCCGTCCCTAGTCAACACCCACAGGCTCCATGAAAGAATAACCATCAAATGGAGCAGACGAAGCACTAGTAGTCTATCTAAGCACTGCTCTCGCTCATAGACTATTCCAAGAGGATTTCTCAGTTCCAAACTTTGCCTGAGAAAAAAACAACAAAACCAACTATGATTTGTGTTCTTAAATGGGTATTTTATAAAAATTTAAGAAAAAGTAGTGAGAGAAAGAAATATGTTTCAGTGGCAAAATGACAGAGACTTGGGAACAAGGAGAGGAAATAGAGAGAAAGTGGGAGAAAAACTCTGTAATCCATGAGAAAAAAAAAAAATGGTGGGTTTTTTTAGCAAATTGAGGATTTTGTCGAGTATGATGTTGCAACAAAAAGGTTGGACTTTATTTGTTTGTTTGGTGAGCGAGAAACCCACCAAGGACAGACACCGCCGAAATAAACGATGATGAAGAAGAAGCACGTGGGCGCGTGTTGCTCCCGGCATGCACCAAAATCTTTGCCTGAACCTGTAGAAAATTCATAAGAGCGTCAAGATCCGGTGATTTCTTAGCAAATTCCCCATATTGTTACTAATGGCACATGGGCTTGGTTCACCTGCCTTAATAACAGACCTAGTGAAGTTCTTAGCTGACCAAAGATGGATTCTACCGGCATTGAAACTTTAGTACAAGATAAAAAAAAGCGAGAAATTACGTAAGAAATTGACTTATCTGATAGTTGCTTTGAGTTCCGAAGAGGCCATTTTTATGCTTTGAATCACTTTCTCTCTCTGAACATCAGTTTTTGGTCTGAAATGTTAAAAAAGGGAAAGCCAGGAAGAGAGAAAGAGAGAGAACAAAAGGGTTACTAATTGAATTCTATCAGGTACTGGGTTTGATCCAAATTGCTTCTTTTTTTAATATTATATCAGCTTATGACAGGTGTCAAATTATGATAGGGCCACGTCAGATTGCAGGACATAACTTGTCCTCATAGGGCAGATCCAAGCATTATCCTTCAAAGACCACCTTCAATATTTCTTCATCAACAAGCAAAAGACCCTTTTGGGCATAAATGCTTTTTTAAGCTTCTCCATCACCAATCTTCTCACATATCCCTCAGACACTCTCTGGATTCGACTCTAAAGAGTTTGTAAATAATTACTATACCATAGGTTTGTTGGGCAGTGGAAGCTCCTCATACAAATCTGTTGGGCAACAATAGAAACCCAAACAAATATACACACAATGATGGCAAATCCTATAATAAAAAGATATGAATAAAGACAAAAAGAAACACACCACAAGATAAGATTTATACGTGGTTCACTTTCACAAATAGGGTTACGTCCATAGGCGATGATGATGTATATCACTATATAGAAGAAGATTACAAATTGAAGAACGTTTTCTAGACAATAATCATTCTTCTCACAATCAAACGTCACCCACCAAACGAAGAAAAGCTCACCGAACACTCTTAAGAAAAATCCCCAATAATTATATGGTTTACATAAAGAAGAAAACCTACCCAAAGACAAACTTCAAATATCTCTCTTGAAGATTGCACACAAAAGGATTTTTTCACACAAAAAATCAATATAACTTTTTCTGACTTTACCCTCTTTGATCAAAATATCTCTGAAGGATCTCACCGGGATCTATTAAGGATCATACTCTTTCGCTGCATTTCATGCCTACTTTATAGGACAAAGTTGCTGCCTTTGGATAGCTGACTTATTGTTGGCACAAAGCAATTCATTCCTTATCAATAGCTGACTTGTCGTTGGCACAAATCAACTTATGCCTTATAAATTACTTTCCTTAAAGTTTGCTTATTGTCTTATCAAGCCCTTAGCTTATGCATTGAGTCATCCACACGACCACCACAATTGTATCATTTAACCAATAAAATTCTGCCAAAATCCCAACAATTTCCACCTTGGCAAAATTTCTCTACGCTGACACAAATGATAAAGCATTATCATAAAGAATCTTTCTCCACCAGAATGTGAGTAATAAAAAAAGGGCATCATCATCGCCATCAAAAAAACTAAATTATTGAAGAATTTTAGTTAACTTTGAGTCCTCCTCAAACCTAACACTTGGTATCTCCTTCTTCAACCCAAACACGTTTTGCGTAGCCACAAATATGCCTCCAGTATTTTTGTCAACTTTCAAATTTTTATCAAAAGCACCCTCAGAAACTCTAAGTCTGACATCTCCTCTAGCAACCTTCGCTAACCGCCCACAAGCTGCCGGCCGGTAATGAAAAGTCATCTTTTCACCCTTGTAGAGAATAGGACGTCCCTGACTTTCCCTCGCATCTCTAATGTGATCAACTACTTGTTTCCCACGAATCTTAATGGCACTCAAATAGGCTATGTTATGTCTACCAAGATTGTTACAAGTCACCACCATATCTGTCCTCATAGGTCTGCTTCCCTGTAAGGACTGTTGCAATTTCGGTTACCATTTGAAAACGGATTTCATTCTCCCATAACGTTGTGTAGTCCCTTTACAACCCATTTGAGAACTAAGATCATCACTCTTCTTTGTAACTCCACCTTTTCCTAGACCCGAATGCAGATTTCTGTTCATTGTAGAAGACTCCATAATAGCTCTACCTGTTATTGTATTCCCTTGGAGAATATACAAGTTTCCCACCTTTATTCCCTGTAACACCACAAGAGAACCCATCACGACCCTCATAACTCCACCCTTTGTTACAACCTTGTAACCTTTGGAGTCTAGCACACCTATTGAAATAAGGCTCTTTTTCAGATCTGGTACATGTCGCACACCTGAGAATGTTCTCACCAACCCATCATGCGTCTTGATCTTAATTGTTCCAATTCCTAAAATTTTAAAGGCTTTTCCATCCGCCGTCAAAATAGAACCACCTTTCACCTCTTTGTAGGAAGAGAGAAAAAATCCCTACTGAGACACATATAAACAGAACAACCTGAATCAAAAATCCAACTGTCATTAAATGACACACCTGAACACGAAGTTGTCATGAGAATATAATCATCATATTCCGAATCACTCGTTGTAGCAGCTACCATAGAATCTGCCTCTTGAACCTTCTTTTTACCATTCCCATTCTTTTGTCTTCAGTGTGGGACATTGCATAATGATGTGCCCTAATTCATGACAGCAGTAACATTTCTTGTCCTTGTAATTCCTTGATTTGGACCTAAAGCTATTTGAATTTGAGCGTCGATTTTCTGTCCTTCCCTTGCAGGTAAGACCGTGGCCTCTCCATTTCTATCAATCTCCAACATTTCCCTCTTATTCTCATAAGAGAAAAGTGTTGATTTGACCTCATCCAGACTACAGTCTTCTTCCCATACAACAGAGTAGTCACCAAGTGATCATACCTCGTGGGAAGAGAAGCTAATAGAACCGAGACTTTGTCTTCGTCATCCAATTTTACCTCCATGTTTAATCGTTTCGAGATAAGCCTATTAAACTCATTGAGATGGTCTTGCATCATAGAACCCTTCTTCATGCTGAAACGGTAGAGCTCTTTCTTGAGATTGATCCGATTTGTTAGCGATTTTTCCAAATAGAGTTTTTCAAGCTTCTCCCAAATCTCTCTTACTAACGTCTCTATCATCACGTTATGCTTGATCTCCTTTGACAAACACAATTGGATCCTAGAACAAGCTTCAATAGAAAGCTGTTCTTATTCGTCTTTCTTCGTTGGATCAGGATTTTCATCTAAGGTTTCTATCAAACCTTTCTTAACTAGAATATCCTTTACCTCAACTTGCCACATCCCAAAGTTGTTCTTTCCATTAAATTTCTCAACTTCATATCTCATGGATTTGGAAGCTATCCCAAAAGACCATGATTTGCAACCTAGGCTCTAATACCACTTGTTGGGTACAGCAAAAGCTTTCTGATACTAATCTATTGGGCAACAACAGAAACCCAAACAAATATATACATAATGATGGCAAATCCTATAAAAAAAGATATGAATAAAGATGAAAAGAAACACACCACAAGACAAGATTTATATGTGGTTCACCCTCACAAATAGGGCTACGTCCACAGGTGATGATGATGCGTATCACTATATAAAAGAAGATTACAAATTGAAGAACGTTTTGGTTCTTCTAGACAATAATCACTCTTCCCACAATCAAACGTCATCCACCAAACGAAGAAAAACTCACCGAACGCTCTCAAGAAAAATCCCTAATAATTATATGGTTTACATAAAGAAGAAAA